GGACCACTGCCCCTCATGGGATCACCCTTATGTCTTTAAAAAAAGAATAACAATTGTTAGTGGGAGATAGCAAGCCTCTTGTTTTCACTCCCCTAAGTAAATTTGTTTGTTCCTTCTGCGCCAGACGTGCTTGATCAGATGTGGGTGGGAGGTATGTGGACAGGAAATATGTCAGAATGTACCCTTGACCCTGATTGGATAAAGGCGGGAGGCATGGAGGCAGGAAGCACATCAGGATGTATGCTTGCCCTGATTGGACCTCATGGGAAATACAGTGAATTATGGATTTTGTCTTTTTAAGCCCCTGCAAAATGTGATTTGGGGACATTTTCTGGGAAACCAGAGACGGATTTGGCCAGAGAGTCCATCAACCTGGCCAGTATTAATTAAAGCTTGCTTCAGATTTGACTTTAATCTGTGGTAGTGGTCTTATTCTTGACAGGTGGGAACAACATTGACTCACCTCTGCCCATGGAAGGCTGAAGAAAGCATCTTTCTGGTCCAAGACAGTATACACCCGTTTCTCTGGGAGAGTCAGACTCATGAGAATCAGAGGTCCCAGGTGTCTTCAGAGGCAGGAGAGCTGTAGTCCAGGGTGATTGGCAGGGTACCAGGATGTCTGTCTCTTCAAATCAGGCAATATGACTGCAATTTCCCTTTTGCTTCCAGGGTCACTGGGTATAATTTAATCTGGACAGGGTAGCTGAACTAATGTTGGACCAGTCCTGGGGGGGGTTGGTTTCTGCCCACACCCCCAGGAATATTTGTTGTCAGTCTGAGAGATAATCTAACTGTCTCTTTTGATTGGAGGCAGAACTTCCAGCTAGGAGATACTCCTCTGACAAAGGATAGGACACCAGAATTTTGCTGGATGCTTGTAGGTCTAACTGCGTCTCATCATCAGAAGGTGATGGTGGCTTTCAGTTTAGGCAAAAGTTCTCATCTGTTCTCTGCTGTTAAACACCCTTTGAATTATCTCTAGCAACTGGAGCCTCCATATATATATATATATATATATATATATATATATATATATATATATATATATAACCTTTTTGAATATCTGGGGCTGACTGGGTGATGAGGAAAATCTTTTTAGCAGCTGTCTTTAGTCTTTTAAAAAGGACCTAGTGAATATTGTTTAAGGTATTAAAATCTATTTTCCCTATTTCTAGTCGTCCTCTAGTATTAGGACATTCAGAAGTGCCCATGGTGGTTTTCACATATAATCTCTGTCATAGGGGACAGGAATACTCCAAACCTTTGACAGGGTGGACGTCCTCAATACCTACTTTTCTGTGAAGTAAATAAATTTTAAAATATTAGCTCAGCCAAGATCTACCTTTTGGGTAGCATTTTTATTTTCTGAAGTCAGGAAAAGTATTTACATTAAAAGCAATAATTGTTTCCTTTATTTTATCATGCAATATTCACAGAAAATGTCCTGAGTACTTGGGGGTGAAATGCTGTTTTATACTGGGCTTCACAGATTGTGTATCCCATTAACTTTGCCTGGGCAAGGATTTGAGTTTTAAAAAGTGTTGTTGGTGACAACACCAAAGACCAAGTGTCCTTGGTAATGGGACATAAGCACTGAAGTTTGCACAAGGTCTCCCAGGCATGTGCCTGTGTCTTATCCCTTCATCAGATAAACCTGTCTAAATGTTATACAAAAAAGGACTTCCTGACACTGATCAAGTGTCCTTTCAATGTTTATTTCTTTATATTCTAGAATAGTCTTGAACTTTCTCATTCTTCTCACACCCACTGTCCTGTCTCAGGCATACCAGGCTAAAGGAGTGACCCCACTCACTGACAAGTAAGGGGATTGCAGCCACAAGGGATAAGTTTTGGCATACTAAGCCAGAGCCTGGGAAAGCTAAATAAGCATCCTGTCTCATAACAAAGCAAAGATTTCATGATCACAGCTTTAGCTTAAATCTTTATTGTTCCCAATCTTTAATTAGTTTTATTTTAATTGACACACAAAGTAATGTGTTTCATTGTGACATTTTTATAATATTATCTGTTCAAATTCATTTCCTATTCCCCTATCCAATTATGATTTATTCTTTCTGTTGATCCCTTCCTCCACCCAATTGACAAATGGGATTACATGAAATTAAAAACTTGCATAGCAAAGTAAATTATCAGTAGAAAGCAGGCTACAGAGTGTTAATGGACATTTTATTATGAAAACATTTAGTTTTTCTTGCACAGATTGGAAAAAACGTTTTAATGTTCTTCCAAAGTATAGTCCCATTTATATCAATACATTTCTTTATCATATGCAAATGATAAGACAGCATCTATTTGTAGGTTAAGACAATTCAGAAAATAAAGTTCATTCATATGCAATAGAAGATTAGTACTTTTACCTTTACTTATGTAAGAGCACTTCACTAATAGCCAGATCATGTTCTGTGGACATCCCAGGAGTTAAGCCCTCTTAACCATGAGCATATCCTAGTGAGAAAACAGGCAAAGGAAGGATGGTAATTTGTATGAAGACATGCAGCTGAATACTGCCAAAGAAGTACATATGCTTCATGGTTCTTTCCTCCTGTGGACTTGGACCACTTTTCTGAATTTACAAAAAGATGAAGATCTGCAAGTAAACAATGTGTTGACATGAGAAGTTTGTGGAAGCTACTCCTAAATGCTCTTTTGAAAGCACTGTATATTCATGAAGTATGAAAACTGTATATTGAATACTTGATTGTGTTTATTATTCATCACTAAAGCTCTCCCTCCCCCAGACCAAGTTCTCAGCACAAAGGAGATTTATTTGCCCCACAGGGACAAAGGGCAGGGAATAAGAGACAAAGACAGGAGATGGAGGACAAGGGAGAAGGGGAAATGAACAAGGGAGAGGAGGAGGGGTATTTGTCATGGGGCACAAAGAACTACTTATAGATAGAGAGAAGACAGACTTGGCCCATAGGTAAATGGCAGTGTATAAATATAAAAGAACATGTATTGTAGAATATTATTTTAAGATGTGTTACATTTGTTTATGTTGTGAAACGTTTGTTTAATGATACAAAGATGTGTTGCATTATTTTATGTTGCATTTGTTTAACTCTGAAGCTGTGTTACTTTGCCTGCCTGAAACACCTGATTGGTCTAATAAAGAGCTGAATGGTCAATAGCAAGTTAGGGGAGAGGATAGGTGGGGCTGGTAGGCAGAGAAAATAAATAGGAGAAATCTGGGAGGAGAGATGGAGGAGCAAAAGAACATGGAAAGGAGATCATTAGGGGCCAGGCACCCAGGCACACAGCCAACCACAGAGTAAGAGTAAAAGTAAGATATACAAAAGTAAGAAAAGGAAAAAGTGCAGAGGCAAAAGGTAGATAGGACAATTTATGTTAAAGAAAATTGGCTAGAAATAAACCAAGCTAAGGTGGGGCATTAATAAGAAAGAATAAGCCTCTGTGTATTTATTTGGGACCTGGGTGGTGGACCTCTCAAAAGAGTCAAAGAGTAAAGAGCGAAAAGAAGAAAAAAAAAACACCAACTATATTTTTGCATACCGATATGAGCCAATTTCCATAGGACCTAAGAAAGCTTTGGTGGGGGAGTGGGAAAAGAGGATATGGCTCCTTTAAGAATTTCTGTGGGACTGTGACCCTAGAGCAGCTAGTAAATAAGAACAAAAAATTAAGTAAAAACACCTGCCACAGTGCATGGTACTGGCATTCTATAGCTAGGAATGTTCAATGCAGTTCTTTGTCACGAACCTCCAACCAGGCTGTGAGCTTTAGACTTGGATTACATGGCCCAAGAGGTCCAAAGATATTCTGATTAATAGGGTTTTTTTTCTCCCAAAAAAAGCTTTAAAAAATGCAGTAAAAGAGATTCAGACAGGTTCTAGTGTATTTTACAATGTAAGTAGGCTTAAGAAAGAAAAGAAAATGGGTATAGGCAGCTAAAAAATTTAAAAAAGTAAAATAAAGTCTTTAAAGAGACAGTAAAAGTAATATAAAAGAAAAAAGCCACATAAAGATGGGAAATACACAGGGAGTATGGATCCTGTATGTTATTATGTTGACTTTGAATTTTTTGATTCCTGATGAGCAAACAGCAGCTGTAGGAGACATGGGATTGTGAACAGGACTGCAAAATTGAGCCAGCCTAGATACTTTAGGCCTATCTTAACTTTAAAAAATAAGTCAAAAAACGAATTTGTCAAATGGAAGTCAAAAATGCTCTGGGGAAGAGGTTTTGCTTTTGTCTCCAAAGGAAGCAAGAAGCTGCGGATTTGTTCAATATGTAATATGGATCCATTTGTAATGGATCAGGTTTGTTCAAGGGAGATTTCCTGAATCTTGACAGGTTTTATATATATATATATATATAACTGTTATTCTCAGTACTTGGCCATTATCTCAAATTTTCTCAGGGACCCCTAAAGATGCCTTTGCCCATAGACAGCAGGAAGCAAAACACAGTTATTTTGTTACACTGTATATATGTTTCTGCTCTTGTTGAAGGTATTTTACCTATGCACTTCATAGTAAAATGTAAGGTAAAATTCTAGTTTTTGAAAGCTATTATTATAAACTATTTAGGATAACCAAAAAACATATGTTAATAGTAATTTATAACAATCAACTTTCTAGATATGTTAGGCATGTTTTCAAGATCATACAGAGATATATTTTAGATAAATAAATGGTCTTCAAACATTTTAAAGACCTACAGAATATGGAATTTAAAATGTTTTATTAACCTGAGGTTTTTTATGACTATAAGACACATCTGCTCCTGGCAGCATCAATCTACTTCATAAAAGGATAATGGGCACTGAAGAAATACTATAGGAGATTGCTGTCATTGTGGCAAGATTAGCCATTTGGGTAAGAAACTGCTTTTACCTTGACTGCTTTAACTGTGTGCTGTGCAGACTGGACATGCAGAACCCACAGGAAAGTGACTGCTAAACTTTACCAAGCAGGAAAGTCCTTCAAAATTCCTGCTTCACAGAAGAGTCTGCCAGATATTCTGCAATGCATACAGGAAAGTGGCTGCTGAACTTTGCCAATATAAGGTAGGACAGTCCAAATTTCCTGCTTCACTGAAAAGTCTGCCAGAGCTGAAGATGGATGCCCAACATTGCAGAAGTACTTTGGGTGACTGTCCAGGCAGTGAGATGTTTCTGTTGTTAGGTAATATTATATCATTCTGGGGTCATTGAGGAAGTTAAAGATTAAATAGTTAAAGTCAGAGTTTTCCTTAGTTATGATAGAAAGTAAATTATGCATAAAACTTTGAAGTCACTAAGATAGAATTGATGCTGAAGTGTTTTCCCTGAATTTGCTAAATGCAAATGGACTGAATATTGTAAATTGACCTTACTTGATAACTGATTTTTTGTATGTAGTTTTACTATGTTAAAGTTAAAACTTTTCTTTTTTAGACAAAAGGGACAACTTTTGTAGAATATTATTTTTAGATGTGTTATGTTTGTTTATACTGTGGAGCATTGGTTTAATGATACAAAGATGTGTTGCATTCTTTTATGCTACATTTGTGTAACTCTGTGAAGCTGTGTTACTTTGCCTGTCCAAAACAAGTGATTATTCTAATAAAGAGCTGAATGAAAAATAGCAAGGCAGGAGAAAGGATAGGCAGAGCTGGCAGGCAGAGAAAACAAATAGGAAAAATGTGAGAGGAGAAATGGAGGAGCAAAAGAACAGGGAGAGGAGGATATGAGGAACTAGCAGCCAGGCAAATGGCTAGCCATGGAATAAGAGTGAAAGTAAGATATACAGAAGTAAGAAAAGGAAAAAACCCAGAGGCAAAAGATAGATAGGATAATTTAAGGAAAGTTGTTAAGAAATAAGTCAAGTTCAGGCAGGGCATTCATAAGTAATAATAAGCCTCCCTATGTGATTTTTTTGGGAGTTGGGTGTTGTGCCCCCCAAAGAGTAAAATAACAACTGCACCCATGTTAAGCTAAGGTGTTTGATTTTAATTGGGCCTGTTAATTAAATGAGCAAAATGGGGATTTTTGTTGCTGAATTTCAATGCTTTGATAACTGGACCTTGGTAGTCACCTCAAGAGGAAGAAGTGGCCAAATAAGGGAATAGACCTTGGTGGCTAGCTTTAGGAATGTAATCTGACAAATTTTAGCGAGGCAGAAAGAATTAGGGAGAAGGTCAAAGCCTGCCAGAGCCCTGTTTGCCAAGCCCAGGCTAGCAAGAGTTCCTTCAGTTTTCTTACCCAGTTTTCTTACCTGTAATGAGGGCAAAGTTGCACAACTGTTTTGCTTATCATGTTTTCAGTAGTTATTCTAATGATCTTACTAGTTATATGTTGCTTCATCTGTGTATTACAGCATCATCAAATAGCTTCCCTGTGCCCTAGATCTATATGGCCAACTGAGATCTAGAGCAGCTTTCTGGATGGGCCCTAATGACCTAGCCCTAAGGGTCACTTTCTCTCTGTTTGACACCCTAAAGTCACCCTACAGCAGTAAGCAGGCAAAGAAACCATCACTGCTAAACCTATTGGCAGTCCATGTTGTTTTCTGAGACTGGGTAATGAGGGAGGGTTGAGTGATCTTAGGCTGATCCATTAAGAAAGCAGGGATGACTCCTTTAAGAGTAGACATTATGGGTGGGGGCTGGAGAGGTGACTCAGAGGTTAAGAGCATTTGCTGCTCCTCCAGAGATTCTGAGTTCAATCCCACTTGGTGGCTCACAACTATTGAAAGACCTGGATAAATCCAGATCCCCTTAGCAGGAAAATAGAGCTAAAAATCTAGCGGGAAGAGAAGAATCAGAAATCTAGGATTAGCCAGTTCCAGGGTTTCAGGAACTAGCTGAAGATAAAGGTAGATTGTAATCTCGAGAGTAATATTGAGAGACAAAGAGATTCCCCCTAGTAATTATCACCCTCTAGTAATTATCACTAGAACAGGAACTAGCTGATTAATGATCTTTAGAGGCAGGGAGTTGCCCCTTTGTAATCATCACTGGACACCCTCCCTGCCCCCCTTTTCGGATTACTGGACTGTATGGTTTCTTCCTATAAAAACTACTTCTCCCAGTCACTCGAGGTCGAACTCTTCCCCTGCGTGGGTTATGAGTCTTGGCTCCAGTGCACTGGTTCCCGGCTTGTCTTGTCGTCTTGTCATTAAAACTCGTGTGATTGCAGCAAGGACGGTCTCTCATGAGTTACTGGGGGGGGTCGCGTCATCCCGAGGCTCGAGTGAGAGTCTCCCCGAATCGGGGGTCTTTCACTATAATGAGACCTGGTGCTCTCTTCCAGCATAAAATCATATATGCAGATAAAGCACCCACACATAAAATAAATAAATAAATCATTTTTTTAAAAAAAGAGTAGATACTAGGGTTGTGTCATCCTCCTCCAGGACATTTCAACCATTGCAAATTTTTAACAGGCAGAAATGGGATGAATCAGGATGAATAGAGTGTCTGAAAAGAGAAAAGCCCTGGAAGTATAGTAAGCTAGGTGACTCCTAGCTCCCTTTCCTTTGACGGTGGCTCTTACTATGTTTTAATAAAGTTTGTCATTTTCATTCTCTTTTCTCTGTGTGTGTCCAGGGTTTCACCATTCTTCCCATCACTTTTAATTTCCTAGGGCCTGCTGCTGTTGCTTCTTTCATGTGTTGGTCTTCTGCTTTTCCTGGAAATCCAATCCTTTGTTCATCAGCCAGAACATCAGATGAACACCCCTCATCTCAAGACCACTGGATCAGAATTACTAACAGTCTACAGATTTCACTCTTCCCACCTATACTTCAAAACATGTACCTCATGGGCTTTAACACTATAGGCTCTTTACAACTTTCTGTTCAGCATCCCAAATAAGGCCTTTATTCATGGTCTCGTGTTATATCAGCCCTTGTAAATGATTAATGTACGTATTTTATTATCACACAATTCTAATGGATGAAATGTATTTGGGAAAATAAGAAATGGTGATGGTGATATGGGTCTCTCCCTGCTCTCCGCTGTCCTCAGTAAGTCACCTCTAGCTATAGGGAGTCAAGCTGAAGATCTGCTTCATTTTCATTACAGGCCAGGGTTATGTACACAGTCAAGGGTGTTCTCTGTCATAACCTTTTCTACAAATTTATTTTTCTGCTACGTGGTGTCAGGGTCCTCAAGAAGTCCCACAGAAAACCACTATCCACGTATGTAATCAGCAAGAGCATTATATTGAGAGAAAAGATTCCAGCATGCTGGGGCCACACGTCTAGCACAAAGGCAAATTAGAGACCCTGAGAAGAGCACACAGGCTCCTTTAAGCACAGCTAGGGGGAGTTTCAGGGACAGTTAGGTCATCTCAAACATATTTGGTTAAGCAAGTATCAGTTACACTAGTACATTTAATATTGGCTAGGGCTTCAGGGGCTGAATTGGGTTAGAGTTTTTCCATCTTTGGGCATGTGTGGACAAGTCTCAGGGCCTGTTCCAATTTTTTCATTACCTTAAGGTATTGTGGAGGCTGGCTCAGGCCTGGTATGTGTTAACTCTCTCATTGTCCTTTTAGGAAACTGAAACTCAGGCCCAGTTGAAAAATGAGGTAATGTTCAGACATTTCACCTGGAATCAAGAAACAATAATATTTATACACAATACTAAGTCTTTGGGTACATCTGAAGATGCCTTTAATACTTATTTTCTTGTTGCCTTTTTAAAATTCTGGGAGCTTTTGATAGAATGATGAAGCTCACAGGCTAGGAAAGAACTGTCAGTAAGTTACCCACCCACAACCTAGGATCTTTTATTTTAAACATTTCCTGATCTAAGAGCCTTATCTTCTGCCTCAGTGACACCAGATGCTTATACAGCTACCATGCATGAAATAATGTGCTTCTGATGACTCAACCTATCACACCCAATCATACCAGAAGCCTCGTGCTCCCACAGGTGATGACAAAAAGGCAATATGAACTTCTCCCGGAGCTAAATGATTGCCCTTTCCCCTGCACCCATTTGGATAATCAAAGCTGCAAAATACTGAGGGCTGACTATGGAGAGATACTTCTGAGAGAACTGGTACAGGGGAGGGGGGCAAACCAGACTCTCCTAGTAGCCTGAAAGAAATCTAAGCCTTAGTTTCAGTTCACTAGAATGGGACAGAGGTCTCAGGAAAACCACAACTTATGGGTAACCATCATCAAGCATCCCCACAACCCTTCTTCTAGCTCAGCAGACCCCCAAAGTCCTTCTTCTGGCTTAACCCCTCAAAGCCTTTCTGTTAGCTCAGCAGATGCCCCCAGACTTCTGCAAGCTAAAGATAGCTTCCCCTACCCAGCCACCGGAAAGTATCTCTCCACTAGGCCTCCCACCAGTCAGCTTTCACCAATCAGCTTCCAGACTAATCTTTTCTCCGCCAATCAACCCCAGATTAATCCCTCCTCTCTGGAATTCCCCTAACTCTGCTTAAAAGAAGCTTGTGACCTTCCTTGGGTGTCACCAAGAGCCACCCTAATGTTGAAAATCATAAAGAAATCTTTTTTTATTGCACACATGGCTGGCTGTTGGTCTTCTTTGGGTGATTCTCTCTGACCCTAACAATTCTGGACCTCAATTTTTTTTGGATTTTTGAGCAAGAATTCCACTGTATAACAGCTCTAGATGGCCTAGATCTCACTCAGTAGACCAGACTGGCCTTGAACTCACAGAGATCCGAGTGTTGGGAGTAAAGTCATGCACCACTACCATCTGACATCTGGACATCAATTTAAAAACTTTCATGAGATCCACATTCATGTTTTTCAAGGTGAGAGGATTTTTTTCTTTTATGAAACAGTGTCTTGTAGCTCAGAGGGCCTCAACCTTGATGTAAAGCAGAGGATTACATCCAATATTTGATATTCCTGCCTCCATCTCTATGGTGCTGATTTCAGGTGTGTATCAGTATCCTAGTTTATTGCTATGCATTCAAGGGTTTTCTGAATACTAGGCAAGCACTATAACAATTAAGCCACACTCACAGTGTAGGGTAAAAGGGCCAAAGAAAGAACACCCTGACGCCCTCTTGACCCCAAGACCAGAACCAAAGGAAAAACACCCTGATCCTGACTTGACCCTCATACCAGGGCCAAGGAAAAAACTCTCTGACCCTGATTTGACCCCAAACCAAGACCAGGGCCAAGCAACAGAATCCCACAATCACTAAGTTTGATCCAAGTTCAGGTCACAAAAAAATCCCACCAATTCCCGGCTACCCTAGAAAGCTCCACCCCTCTCCTGCACTCCAAGACACTCTATAAAAACTCTGCCTTCTCTTCAGTTCCTTGCTGCTCCTCACCTGACCAGAGGCAGACACCCTCCTGGTTTTTCTCCCTGCCAGTAAATCTCATTTGTGAGGTTTGTTGTTCAGTGTGACTTTGTGGTATTCCTTGGCTCCTCACGGCCAGGATACATTTCCCTTCAGAGCTGTAAAACTTACATTGTGGAGACCTTTCCCCCCACCATAACAGAGCTGTAACACTTCTATTGGGGCACCCTATCCCTTCAGAGCTGCAACACTTTCACATAGTCCCTGAAAATGTGAGTTTGTACATCAACTTGACACTTTAATTTTGCTGAAAACAAACAAATTTATTTCAAATAGCAGTCAAACAGAAACAGAAGATCAGTGAACTTGCTTCAAAAGCAACGTGGACATCAGTTCTAATGACCAGAGGAAGACCCCATGGCAGTGGGGACATCCCAGTTCAGTCCACATGAAGCTTTAGGACAGGCTGAGCTTTTCGAAGAGGTACTCAGTCAAGTCGTTCTCTGGGGCCCCCATCTGGCGCAAGTTGGTCAGATATTGGTTCACCTCCTTCAGAACTTGGACCTGCTGATTCAGACAGCTTTGCTCCAGGAAGTTGCAGAGGTAGGCGTTGCCTTTTCCTTTGGCCAATTCGTGCAGGTTCAGCAGGCTCTGATTGATGGTCATCTCCATGTGGAAGGCGTACTCCATAGCCTGGATGCCCCCATGCCAACTGTCGCGGTCTCGTCCCGAGATGTTACGAAGGTCGATGCAGCCTCCACACTGATTCTGCAGGATCATGAACATCTCGGCACTGGCCTTGTGGTCGTGTGACTTGCTCAAGGAGAAACGCTTCAAGTTCTCTTGGCCCACGTCATCACGGTCGAAGTAGAAGGCCATAGATAAGTACACAGAGGAGGCAGAGAGCTGCAGCTGAATATAGTTATTGACAGCGTCCTCACAGTCACAGTCATAGTTCTGTCCCACTTGTGAGGATGCTTCAGCCATGGTGGGCGCTTGAACACCACAACAATCTCAACAACTTCTGTACCTGATCAGAGGAGCAGGGTGATGAGGACAGGCAGAGTCCCTGGGTCCCTCAGAAGACAGGAAGTCCCCAGTGGAGCTCAACAGAGAAGCCTCTGGAAGCTCTGAGGAAAGTCCAGGGCAACCCGGGAAATGACTGTTGGCGCCTGAGGATGACGTCATTTTGGCGCCAGGGCTTAGAGTGGGGAGGGGGCGGGTCAAGAGTGCTCATTTGCATAGCAGCAGGGCCTGCTGGGCCCTGACTGACATAAGCCATGTTTTAAAGGGTTCTATGAATAAAGTCCAAAGTTTTAGGCTAAATCCTCTGGATGCTTTAAAAACAGTTTCTCTGAATATCTCCACAATGTTTTTTTCTCTCAACATTCTGCCGTTTGCTTTCCATAAGTCAACTTCATATCGTAAGGCTTTATTTGAATGACAGCTCTCATCACAGGCCTCAGGTAGTATTTACCTGGCCCTAGGTTGAAGGGTCATCAGTGCAGAGTGTGCTTAGTAAACCAGGCAACGGTGTGATGACCTTAACTTCTTTCTTTCTTTCTTGTCTTTTTTCTTTTTCTTTTTCTTTTTTTTTTTTGACACAGGGTTTCTCTTTGTAGTCCTGGATGTCTGGAAACTCACTCTGTAGACCAGGCTGGCCTTTTGCTCACAAAGTTCTGTTTGCCTCTGCCTCCCAAATGCTGGTATTAAAGGCATGTACCACCACCGCCTGGCAACCTTAACTTCTACATAGGATTTTAAAATAGTTTTTCAATAATGAAATTAAAAGCTTTTTTTATTAATATAGAAGGTGGCTGAGGAAAATAGACATTTTGATACCTTTCTATGGGTAATATAATTAGTCATGGTGATTCAATGTCCTCCAACATTTTTCTATTGCCACTGCTATGAAAAATAAGGCTTTTAATTATTAAATAAACGAATAAAGTTGATTAAATTAGCTTTTTAAGAGTCCATTTTTGTCTTTATTATGAGTATATGTGCAAATATTAAATTGAGTGATCTTTTAAGAAGGCTAATATTGTGTTTAGTTTATAACTAAAACAAATGATGTGTTATTTCTTTAAGTAGACTATAATCCAGTTGGTCAATACAGTATTTAAAGCATATATCATACACATTAGGGAATGACTGTCTTAAAGTAGAGGGTTTCATAGATATATACTCACCAAAGAAAATGCAATTTCTTACATCCATTTGAAAACTATTTTCATAGTCCATCAACATACTTTCTATTATATAATCTTAAAGTGACTACAATAAACCCAGTAAATAATTGTGAAGAATTTGTGTTTGCTTTCATAAGAGTTGTTGCAATTATTAATTGTTAATCCTCCAACCCTACCTAGAAATGATGAAGCTTGACTTTTCTTCTTGACTAAAACACAATATTATTTAAAATTGACACTTTCTGTTCTTATATTTTTTTAAAAAAAATCATCACATGGGGGTTGTCTTAGTCAGAGGTCTATTGCTGTGAAAAGACATCATTTCCATGACAACTCTTATAAAAGAAATCTTTTAATTGGGACTTGTTTATAATTTCAGATGTTCAATCCATTTTCATCATGATGGGGAAACATGGCAGAAAAATGGCTAAGAGGTCTGTTTGCAGCAGGGAGAACCACTGGGTCTGACATGGGCTTTTGAAACCTTCAAAGCCCATTCCCAGTAACACACTTCCTCCAATAAGGCTGCATCTACTCCAACAAGGCCATACCTCCTAATTCTTTCAAATAATGCCACTTCCTGGTGACCAAGCATTCAAATCTTTGATTCTATGGAGGCCGTTCTTATTCAAACCACCACATTCCATTTCCTGGCCCTCATAGGCCTGAGGCTATATTTTAATGGAAAATGCAATTAGTCCTACTTCAAAAGTCCCATAATAAATCATGGTCCCAACACTTTTCAAAAGTTCAAAGTTTCTTCTGAGACTCCTGTAACATGATCGGGGCCTGCTTGTTTGTGTTTTCTGTTCTGCCCGGTTCCCACAACTGTTTAGTTCCAAAGAAAATCACACAGAGATTTCTATAAGTTATAATGCTGATTGGCTCATTAGGTCAGGCTTCTTATTAGTTCTTGTAACTTATATTAACCCATTATTCTGATCTATTTTAACCATGTGGCTCGGTACCTTTTTCAGCTGGCAGGTCACATCCTGCTTCCTTGGTTGTCAGTGCAGTACTGGGAGCAATCAACTTCCTCCTTCCCTGAAATCTCCTGGTCTCATTGCATCATTTCTACTTCCTGTCTGGTTTTCATGCCTATACTTCCTGCCTGGCCAATCAGCATTTATTTGAAACATGATTGACAGAATACAGACAATTCTCCTGCACCAGACTCCTGAAAATCTCTTTACTGTAACCCCTATAAAATCAAAAAGTAAATCACATACTTCCAATATATAAAGTTTCATAATATACATTACCATTCCAAAGGGAGGGAAGGGAGCATAACGAACTGCAGCAAAGCAAGACCAGAAAACAGCTGGGCAAACTCTAAGCTCTGAAAAGAGCTCTTCAGGTCTCCAATTTCTTTTAACTTTGTTGGCTACAGCACATTTCTCTCTCTTGGCCTTGGCCTGGTTCCACATCTCATTAGCAGTTTTCCTTGGCAGGTATCTCACAACTTTGATATCTCCAACATCTTGGGGTCTCCAACAAAATCCCTGCTTGCAGGAACACTCCTGTCACATACCTGGGCCTTGGTGGCTTTCCTTAGCTGCAGAGGGAGGTACTACAATCCCTTTCTTGTGTCCTAGATTCTAAATCCAGAACCTTGGGGCTGAAGCTGAGAAGTTTTTTCTGCTTGCTGATTTTGGAACATGCCCCCTTCAAATATATTTTAACCAGCTTTCTGATTTTGATGGTTTCCTTCACTGTCTGAGCTTGGCTATCCTAGAACATGCTCTATAGACCACTCTGGCTTTTATCTCAGAGATCTGTCTGCCTCTGCCTCTGCCTCTGCCATGGGCAAGGGAAGAAAGCAGCAACATTCTTTGCCAAAATATCCCAAGAATGGTCTCTGGGCCACTTACATTTTCCCTCTGAAACTTCTTGAGCTGGGCCCCCACAGCTCACATCACCCTCAGTACTGTCTTCCATGCTTCAGCTTGGATAGCACATGAAGCCCTGATTAACACATTCAACTCTTTTCTTAATCCAAAGTCCACATTCTGCCAAAAAGAAGCATGGTCAGGTCTATGAGAGTAATGTTCTTCTCCCTGATACCAAATTCTGTCTTATTCAATGTTCTGTTGGTGTGAAGAGACACTATGACCATGGCAGCTGTGGTAGGGAGGCCGTTAGTTTGTTTCCCAGCTGCCAGACAGCTCAGACCTAAAATAATCACACAGAAACCATATTATTTAAATTACTGCTTGGCTCATTAGATATAATTTCTTATTGACTAACTCTTACATATTAATTTAACCCATTTTTATTAATCTGTGTATTACCACATGACTGTGGTTTACCTGGTAAAGTTCCAACATCTGTCTCTGGCGGGGCTCCATGGATTCTCTCTGACTCTGTCTCCTTTCTCCCAACATTCAGTTTCCTTTTCTCCACCTAGCTAAGTTCTGCTCTGCTAACGGTCCAAAGCAGGCCTTTATTAACCAATGATATTCATAGCATATGGAGGGGAATCCCATATCAACTCCCCTTTTCTGTTGAAATAAAAACGAAGGTTTTAACTTTAACATAGTAAAATAAGATTTAACAAAAGTTATCCAGCAAGAACTACAGTTACAAAATTTATATCTACTTTATATTTCATGATAACTAAGAAAACCATAGCTATATATTCTTCAACTCCATCAAAGACTCTAGAAGGATATTTTTTTCCTTA